TTTGCCGACAGAATGCACGAGCAGGCATTTGGCACATCGTGACTCCACGATGTTGCTCGTTAAACGCTGACTTCCTATCTCACCTCACAACACCTTAACTCCGTGATTAGTAGAAATAAGTCAAAACTCTCAGTGGATGTCGTCTCGCTAAGAAATTTCCGTTTCATAATCCCTTTGGAAAAGGTGACCTTGAGAGTGCGGCAGAAGGAGGAGGAGGAGGAGGAGGAGAAGGGGAAGATGAAGGAGTTGGCGGTGTAATTAGTCATTTGTGGGACAGCAGCGTGACAACTCCCACCTAACAAGTCAAGTGTCTCAGTGGTCAGCAAAATGCAAAAAGGCAGCCATCATGCAATGGAAGTGGCTGGAAACAATGTGACTTAAATTGCAGCAAGAAGTAGCAGCTTTATTTTCCAAAATTTGTCCAGAGAACAAATATTTGTCTTTGTCTGGAGCATAAAAGTGGTGAGCAGAAGGAATGCAAATGATGTGGTGACTCTAGACCGCCCTAGTGTTGCACCTACAGATATGAGCACCTGAGTAGGCCAGGCTTTGACAGAAGAGATCCAAAGGGGCTTAATTGATGCGGTTGACGTGGGACCCCTTGAGTCGACCGACTGCACTCAGAAGGGTTAGTAGAACGATGACAGGAAGACTGAATTAGAGTGTCGACTCTATCGATGCCCTGATTCAGTGTTAAGACATCCACGAAGGGGCTTCAAACAGTCCGTCCGAGGGGTTGGAGCTTGATACCTTGGGCTTTGTTGACAAGAGACCTGATTCATCCTACACTCTGCCATCTGCCACCTGACTCAAGGTGCTCTAGACTGAAGTAGTTCACAAAACGCGGCTACCAGCGGGAGCTATTAGCACTCATAGATGAATTGTGCAAACTTGAAGCCCACTAGTGTGACCAATGTGACGGCGATAGCTAGTCTATTGAAACTCGTAAACGAAGGTCTTCAGTCAATCATCTCTCGTGTCCTCATGATTGCGTGAACCTTCAGCCATGACTGGTCATCTGCATTGGAATGTGGCATTCCCCACGATCCTACTAGGGATATTGTAGGATGGAATCAACTGTGCTCTGGTGGGCAAACACTGCGAGGAAGGCTTTATTTTTGTAAGTGAACAAGTACGCTAGCGTTAAAATATAGCCCGCCTGATTCTGTGCCACCTTGTTTTACTGTTATGAGCACTCAGAGCTACCTGACCAATAAACCAAAACTTTTAATTCACCTTTGTTGCCAGAAGTGGTGACGATTGATTGCAATGTACAATGTGCAACGCTTGCCACATCAGTCACTGCTTACCAAGTAATGGGGAACAAGAATTTTTAATACCTATATATCTTTCGTTTTTGTGTTACTTTGTGTTATGCTTGTTGATATGTTCGTTCAAAGACAAATGCCAAGATGCGCAAGTTAGGCATCACCTCTTTCTATCATGCGTTCTTTGAGGTAACTCAAAGTCCAACTACAATAACTATGCTCCCCTTACAAGGGTTCCATCAACAAGGGTAATTTCACGACCTGCTACCTAAGATAAATCGCTAGTGCCATTTGGCAATGATTAGGGGTAGATGGCCAGTAAAACGAGGTTGTGTGTTTGGAGATGTAAATATGAATGTGGTGCTCAGCTCATTTATACCCTGATGCAAGGGTGTCATTTTGGCTTCTATTTGAAGCTCTACAGCTTTCGATTTCCCGAGTCAACATTGCTAAGTTTAAAAAGTTGTCTTTTGGAGTGGAAATTTCGTTGAACACTGCATTGATGTTAAGTGACGCCTGTGGCTTAAGGGTTTCATTGGCGTGACCGAGTAATTACTGACAGCCTAATCACCGCAATTGCTTCCATGCCATTAAGTAGGAATTAATTCACAGCAGAAGAGTGCACTGCAAAATTGAGCACTTTGTGATTGATTCATTTGACAAGCTGACAGGCAAAAGATCTTGTAAATCGCAAATTAAACTTAAAGACCTCTTTGATTGAACTTCTCGTAATGCTCAGCTTAGACTAATTTTGCCCTTTTTTGAGAGCTATCAGATGGCTTTCGGTGTAATCTTCTTCCCCACCTGTTGACAGGGTGATATCCAAAATAATGGAAACTTCCATGATTACCTCACTGTTGTGACTGTGAATGCAGCCGTTGGTGTAGGTGTAATGTAATGCTGGTCAGTCAGTGTTGGATTGACTCGTTCTTGCACGGCCTTTCTTGAGGGTTAAGATCTGATTTGTAGATTACAGCTAAGACCTTATCTCCATCACCATCAGCGCCACTAATTCATCTAGCAGCACCTTCTGAAAATTTATTTACAAAATGTGCACTTCACAATGTCTACACAACTCCACAAAAGGCTTGTGAATTCGCACAAGGCCAACGTGAATGACATCTTAGCCCCATCAACTTTAAAGAACGAAAGGAAAAGGCATCTGTCATACCACTTGCATGAATATCGTGCCATTTGTAGATTTATGGCTTCCGTGATGAAGCTGCGGGAAGCACGAATCTGGATTGAGGCGTTTTGTGGGAGAAGAGTAAGAAAATGAGTAGAGCTGACATGATGGTGACTAAAATTGTGGGAGGTAAAGTGGTATGGTTAAATACAACAGACGTGGTTTCACTGCATAGCTTCCTCCTCCTCCAATTTCCCTCTGCCGATGCCGGTTCTCAGGGATCCTCGTAGCTAGCCACAACAAATCCTCTTACGAGCTGCATACAACTAGCTGCATTCCAGACGCGGTAATGACGTAGTGGACTCGTATCACCAACAGTATGTCACTCATTTCGCTGGTGCAGTGTGCTGCAAAATGCTTGCGAATTGCCACTCCTGACAAATGTGTCCTGAGTAGGTGGAATGAAATGCATTTGAGGAGAGCACATTTGGGTGGAGAGGATGAGGATGAGGAGGAGGAGGAGGCGGAGCAGGTGGAATGTAGGACTGGGTGGTGATCAGGGCAAGACGATGATGTGCAGCCAGTCCTTTCGTACGTCAACCACATTTGAGGCAAGGCAGGAAGTTTTGCTTAAAGGCAGAAAAGCAGCACTGACTTCATTCCAAAAACTTCGAAATGATTTTTCAAGAGACACTTTGAGTCATTCCAGGTAATGAGTATGGCTTACTTCAGTCCTGATGGACTGAATGAGTGATGGGACTACTTATTGCCCATGCCCACTTGTGAGTCTGGCTAATCTTGTTCACCTACAACGGATGGCCTTCACTTCTAGCGTTGTGACGCATTATATTCGCAATGAGTTTGGGGTGCCTGTTCTTCTCGAGTTTGTTGCTAAATGCTGGTATGGAGACAGACGTGACGTGTACATGGCTCTGTGTGGGGTCATACTATACCAGAAATGCAGAGTAGGGGGAAGGAGGACGGAGGGGCGAGTAGATTGATGAGGGCCAAACTTACAACACCCCAATCGGGTAGGACTGAATGAGCTAGATTTTGAGTGTTAACTCGGAACCGTTATCGAGACTGGAACCTAGATGATCGGGAGACGAAGAGGTCATTGCGTACTTCATGCCTTGCCAACAGGTTTGTTTAAGTGGGAGACTTGGTTACGTGTGCACGTGACCACCTGTTTAGTAAGGTGGATTGGCGGAGGTAGCGGGTGGTCCCAGGCTTGTACAGATATGACATTTGAATAGCCTAGAAATAGGCAGTGGTTGCCAGCTCAATTCAAGTCGATGTGGGTGTGATATGGAATAAGAGAGTGAGGCTGAATGCGAGGTTGATGATCTGGCTGGCTTGGGAATTAATAAGGCAAAAGTGGAATTCAGAAACACATTGTAGGGTAACTGACATCTCTGTTATACCACTTAACGCAATGTTTCTTCCTTAAATTGCGGGAATAACTATTCCTACCGCATTTTACGACCTTGCAGTCAGGACTGCAGTTGTTGAGGGCAGCGAATATCCGCTCCCTGTTGCACTGGAGAAGCAGGATAAAATACAATACTGGGACCTATAAATCATTGTCTCTCTCAATTATGCATGAATCGCAGCAACTACCTTTGGTTTATCATCCTCCATCTCACGTAGCTGATGGAGGAAGCGATGAGAGAAGACTGGTGTTCCTTGGCCTTACACGAGGGTCAACGTTGTAGTCACAGGTAATGGGTTTATCCTACCTATCAATGGTGGGCAGTAACGTGAAAAATAATGCAAATCTACCTTATTTATGAGTGATCAGTGCATTGGGATGTATGTTATGCTCGCCATTTGGTTTACCCGTGGAGTGGGATCTTGGGGGCCTCCTCGAGCAGCCAACATATCCTCCAGCCATCTGTAAATACATTTCATCAGTATTTTCTACGAAGTTGTCACAACGGAAATGCATTTTGTTTTTCAAACTTATCTGAAAACGGTTTCAGAAAGAAAACATGTTGAGGGATTGTGTAATCGAGCCCGCGTGTTCATCCATTTTCGTCAAATGTGTGATGGAAGGAGGAGAGATAAAAACGTGACGACAAAAGGAAATACTAAACATAAAAGAAATGTTGAGATGGGAGATCTTGAAATAATTAGGGAAGCGTGGCAAATTGTGTATGGTTCACGAATTATAAACAGGCATGGTCCGTCCTCTGAATTGGAGGCTATCATCTAGTACTCCCTATCGGATATATAACTATCTGAACTGCCATTCCAGTTCCATGTGCCTGTGTCAGACTGTTTGGCATCCCTCGTGATTCTCTTCACTTGAGGATATGTAAACTCCCTGCCAATATGTTCTCATCGAGGTGCTGATGATGCCATCAGACGCGGCCTCTAGTGCGATAGTAAGGAATGGTTCAGTGGAGTGGGGATGGTCCTCCTCCACTATTCAGTTCCGCCATAAACAAAGTGGCAGACAGTAAGGTGTGACGAAGTGTATAGTCTTTTGCCATTGAAGTTGGAGTTGCAAGCTTTAACTCAAAACCCAAACCTTTGCGTTGAGTAGATTGGAGGGACAGCACAGTGTATTGTGTGGACTGTCTTGGCATCAACTAAGTGCAATGGTGATGTCAATTCTCTCCAATTCCTTATAGTCCAGCTCCTTAGGTTGAGATAAATAAGAACCCTAGATTAGCCTGTCATCCAACTGCATCAATGAAATCCGTAAACGGTACCCATCGAATGTTAAGTTAGATAGGCTATTTAAGGCGACTCTAATCCCTCATAATTAGACTCATCCCTTTATAGATTGCTGCATAAACGCATTGAGCAATTTGAGACTCTGGATTCACAGCAAAGCCTAATCATAAGCATTTACTTCTTTTTGAAAGGTTAAGAGGTATTATCAGCACCCACACGGAGGCCACTTCTCTCATTCCCTGCTAAGGGCACAACGCTTGTGAAGCATCTGTGGTCCCGCGTGTTGGCATTAACAGCGTTGGAAGAAGCAGAGTTGTAGGATATGCTCGAAGCACACGTTCCTTCTCCATGTTCATTGTTCAAGTAGTGTGTGGGCCTAAGATTGTGCTCTCCTCACTGTTAGGACTGAAGCTGCCAAGTAGAAATAGGCAGTGTTGTGGCATCTTAGCAGGCAATTCGACATTCCTCTTAACTGTAAAATGGAACAGAGCGTGGTTTGCAAGATTTTACAACCAGCTCCTATCGAGAATTGCCTCTTGTACAAAACTGGAGAGCCGAGTATATGAAAGGATTGTAAAATGCCAGTCAAAATGCGAGGAGAGGAAGGTGTAATTTGCCATTAGTGGGATAGTCAAGTGTCTCAGTGGTTAGGGAAAAGCAAAAATAGCTATCCTGCAATGGAGGTGGCTGGAAAATTGTGGCTTAAATGGCAGCGAAAGGAAACAGCTTTCTTTAACACAATTTGTTTAAAGGACACAAATTTATCCTTGTCTGGAAAATAAGAATGGTGAGAAGATGGGTTGTAAAACGATGTGCTGACGCCAGACCGAATCAGAGCTGCACCTACGGACACGTGCATTTGGGTAGGCTAGGCGTGAATAGAAACGGTCCACAGTAATGCACTTGATGTGGCCGTTGCGGGTTCGTGTTGCACAACCAGTTGCATCAACAGACGGGTCAAACCAACGATGACGGGAAGATCGAATTAGAGTGACGACTCTACCAATATCCTGATTCAGTGTTGAGGCATCCACGAAGGGGTTTCAAACAGTCCGTTTACCAGAGTTGGTGCCTGATACCTTCGGCTTTGTTGAGAAGAGACCTGACTCACCCTCCACTCTGCCATCTGTCATCTGGCTCAAGGTGCCCTACACTGGAGTACTCCATACAACACAGCTACTAGTGCCAACTATTGGCACTCAGAGATGAATTGTACGCACACTAGTGTGACCAATATGCCGGTGATAGTCAATCTATTGTAATGTGTAAGGAAATCACCGTCTGTCTTCATTCCAGCATTCCCTGTGTCCCCTTGACTGCATGCGCTTTTAATCGAAACTGATCATTTTCATCGGAATAAGGCATACACCACGATCCTGCAGAGGGTATTGCAGGATGTAATCATCAGCACCCTGATGAGCAAACACTTCGAGGGAGGTAACATATCTGTAAGTGAACAGTTTGACTAGCGTTGGTGTATAGCCCATAGTGGAATCGGAATGGTGCTGCACGGCAGATATGATGCTCAACCACACTTGATGATCTGCATAGGCGGTGGTGGCAAGCAGGTGACCCAGGTGGTACTGACGGACGCATGGCTGATGTCAGCGTTGCAATCCACTGACCACCAACATCCACAGGAACCCCAGCATCATCAGAGTTATTATGTCGTCCAGTAATCCCCCTTTTGTCACTACATCAGCTTCAATTATGTTAGCAAATCAGTGGTATTCAATGTGTGGGTTCTGTTTTGTGAGTCTAAATATTTGGAGACAGGACTGCTGAATTGGTGGTGGTTAAATATTCAGGGGTAGCATTCTCCACAGAGTAATGAGTACGTAAATGAATTTTGGAGTTCCTTTTCATGCAAGACTTTTAAGAGAAATGATTATGATTGGTGCATCCACCTCGGCTGTTTTCATAATCAGGCAAGAGCTTACTTTTG